TCCTGGGGAGTGAGAAGAAAACTGAACTGCTGATTTTTTCCATTTTATCCTTCCCTGCTTTTTCTCCCTCTTACCTTTGACCCGTAGACTTGTCTCCTCTTGGATCAAGCCATAAGCTGGTGGTGATTTTTTTTGTTGGCTCTGTTCTGCTGAATGCACTGGAGCTTCCATGGTGCTCCAATGGTGAATCCATTCACCTGGATTCAGACTCTCCTTCCTGTGCCATATCACTTGTGTCTGTGCTTGCACATCCTGGATGGTTGAATGTTTGAGGCTTAAGCCCTTAATGGAAAAAACCTCTGCTTAGTGGAACAGCTTTAGTCAGCTCAGGGTGCTTAAATGAATCTTATTAGGTGCTGGAGTGCGACACACGCTGGTAAGGCTGCTCTTGGAGCTGCTTCTTGATGGGTTACAGCGAGGTGGCCACAGCCAGGAAAGTGCTTGTAACACGAGTCAGTGAGGAGACCTTATCTCGGGGTAACGATTCTGATAGTGGTGGCTGTCGAATGGTAAAATTCCTCCTGCAAAGATTTCAGGGTTTGACTTGAAAGCCTGGTAACCCACAAAGTGTCAGTGAAGGGTTGAAATTCCCTCGTCTGTCCTCTTTGCTGGGCTTCAGCAGAACGGCACAGGGAGCAGAGACGGAGTTTGGAAAGGCTTTGAAATAGAAACGTTGAAGGAGGGCGCAGGACGAGCTTTTGGCTGCATTAGCTGGCTCATCTAGATCGCTTGGGGCCTGTGTGCTTCTGCACAAAGGAGCTTTTCATCCTGGGTTTGAGACATGCTGACCTGGTTGGATTTATGGGAGTTTTGCTTCCATCGGTGCAAGCATGTTTGTTTGGGAGGTGGGACAGAATGAGAGCATTTGTTTCAAAAAGAAAACCCCAGTTCCCTTTGTATCAGAAACCCAAACAGGAGGAGGATGGGACCAGGTGAGCATGATCTGCAATTGTTGCAAAGCCTTGATTTGAAAACAAACCAAAGAAAGCTTAATACCCAATGTGGAGGCGGATTTTGGAAGAGTGTGAAAGGCTTCCAGCCTTGGGGGTGAGTCCCTGTCTCCTGCAAACTCTGGTTACTTCTCCTTAGTGTCGCAACAGCAGAGTGAACCAAACGGGGCAGTTGTTTGCAAGTCAGACGGGGCTCTGCCCTGCTCTCTGGCTGGAGTGAATGCTGGTTTTATTCTGTCGTATTAATGTTGGAAGAAGTTGCTGGCGTTTTCTTCTAGGAGCTATTTTTACAGCCGCGTGTAATCTTCTGAAGTTATGTGATACCTTTTAGGTGTCTGGATGCAGGAGGGGTCTGAGCTGAGATTTTTTTTTTTTTTTCAATGGAAAGCTGAAAGGCTCCTCTCGGCAGAAATATGCCAGCCCCACGCAAACCAAATGCACCTTGCCTCTCCTCGGGAGGATAGGCAGAGCGTTTCTTCAAGCGTGTCCCTGCATGATCTGCCCTGCCACTCTCAGCTGTTTGCAAACACGTGTCTCCTGCTCGGCCGTGCCATGAGCTGGAACCTGGCCATGGCTCTGGGGCTGGAGCTGATCTCTGGTGGGATTGCTCTGGAGAGGAGAGCCCAGTCGCTTTGAAGTTGCTGCACTGTTTAATATTAAAAGTCAGCGGTATTTGCTTGCATGTCTTGGCCAGGTCAGTTTTGTCACAGGGTGTGTTTGCACAGTGAGAGCTTGTTTGGAAGAAAGCACAGGAGGCCAAAACCAACCCGACACTAGCATGTCTTGCATCTAATTAGATTTTGGTTCTGGTTTGCTGCATTCCACGACATCCTTTCCGAAGAACTGGGAGTTTGTGTCTGGGGATCCTTATCCTGGTGGTGGAAACACCCTAGGTCACCTCCTGGGCACGTGTGTAGGGCTGAGCACAGCAGGGCTGCAAATGCTATTATAATATAAATAAATAATCACAGTCCAACTGTGACGGTCGCACCCAGGGAAATGCGGCGCGGCAGGAATACTGAGCTCAGAAATGAGCCGTGACATTATTTTAGGCTTGGAGACACTATGAAAAGTGATTTAAAGGATTGCAGCTGTTTGGTTTCACAGATGAGGCAAGTGAGAGGGGATGTTGTGAAGGGGCAGAAAGCAGTGGAAGCAGGCTTGGGCATTTTTCTTCTCCTGTTGTATAAAACCCAAGGGAGTATCCAAGAAAATGGGGAAGAAGACGTGTTTCAAGGGAACAAACAGAAATATGCTTTGTACCTATGGGCACTATCTCCGAGCAGCGCGTTCCAGGAGGTACTGCTGAGTTTGGAACTGGTGGAGAAAATCCAGTACCGGTCAAGCGAGGATGTTTGTTGGCTGGTTTCACTCCTAGGTGCCAGCTTTGGGCAGGGCTCTGAACCTGTGGGTCGGATCCAGCCTGAGCACTGATGGGTGATGTGGTGAACAGGCTCTTCAGCTGAGTAGGTTGGTTCCCATCTGTATTGGGGTCTCCTCCTCCTCCTCGCTGAAAGGCATCCGGTCCCAGCAGCTATCAGGGAGGCTGGATGTGAAAACAGTGCAGTATTTTATGACCCTAGATTTAATTTCACCTGACTAAAAAATGACTTGTAAGAAAACTTTGACAAGTGTGCATGCTTTCAAAGGGAAGAAGGAAGCTTGGTAAAAAGGTCCTGGTTTGTTTGACTTCCTTTAGGTAAAACTAAACTCACCAATAATCAGCACTTTCTTCTCTTAAGAGCACTGTGTGGTTCTTGGCCAAACTGCAGTGGAAATGTTTTTGTTTTCCATATTAATTGGCTGTAATGTTGGGGTGCTTGGTTGGCTTCTGTCATGTTCAGCTTGGGAACAGAGGAATTGTTTGAATGCTCTGTGACCTTTAGCTAAAGGTGAAAAACCATATTACTTATGCTCTTAACCTTCTAATGTGTCCCAAGTTCATGCTCTTTCAAAGGCAAGTTTGGCATGAAGGATGCTCATTTTCGGGCAACCTGCAGATGTTTTCTGTAAACAGATCAATTTCCCTGTGTAGCACAAGTCGTCCTCTCCTTTTAAAGCACCTTCATGATCAATATTCCCTGGGGACAGAAGGGTTCCTCTCTCTTCCTTCCCTGTGGATCCAGTTGGTGGCTGTGCCCTCCTTCCCAGCCATCCTTCTCCTGTTAGGGCCCTGACATTTCAGTGCCACGGGAATGATGCAGCTTTGGATGCAGGCTGGGGTTACCAGGAGGGTGGTACCAGCTGCAGGAGGTGCTGGGGGCCAGGGCACACAGGGTGTCCTTGTGCAGCAGCCTCTGTGCCAAAACAGCTTCTGCTTTTGGGGCACTTATAGCACTTTACCTACGAGAGAGATGAAACGGGTTTGGGCGTTGGTAGGATTGGGGTGCGTGCACATGCAAATGAAATTGGTGCTTTGTTGTCACTTGAATCCCCATTGGGGAGCACCATCCCCTCCACGCAAAACAAGAGGTGCTCCGCACACCGCCAGTGTGATGTTTGGCCTTGTTCCCTGCACGCTGCTCAGCTGAGATGGCAAAGTGAGCTTAACCCCTCTGCTCCGGCTTTGAGACCTCCACGCCCCATCCCGTGCCACCTCTCCTGTCTGGGAGCAGCTCTGTAGTTCCTTCATTAAACTCCCCGTTGGCAAAACAGCACTTGTGCAGGACTGTCCCAGGCAGATCGCGTGTTTGTCTTGGCCCGTGATAAATACTTCCTTGTCTGCTGAACTAGAGGCAAGAGGTTGGTGCAAACTTGTGTGTTGATTTGGTGTCCTAGCCAAATGGTGGCCTGGGGGGAATCGAATGCCTTCCCGGCCCAGAGTTCTCCTCCCAGCAGTTTGAACAGGGCAAGTTAAATCCAGCGTCCTGCTGTGGAAGATGCTGTCAGGAAATGCAAGCTCCTGAGACGGCAGGAGCTAGCTCCTCTCCGCAGTGATGTGGCAAGGCGATGCCAGGTAAGCCTGCAGAGAGGCAGCATATTTTGCATTACATATGCAAGGTGCCTTTGCTGCTGTGTTGGTTTTCCTTGGAGTAGTCATTCACACTTTTATCTGCTGGAAGCAAAATGCCAGTCTGTGTCGGTGCTCCAGGAACTTGCAGAACGGAAGAGTTTACGGTGCCAAACGCTAAAATCCCCCAGGCGAAGAGCCTTCTCCAACCACCTCCGAGCACAAAGAAAAGCCTCCTGCTACCGGCTGCGCAGCTGAGCGGGGGGCGGTTTGTGCCAGAGATGCACATCCTGAATTCTGCCTGCCGGGCTCCAGCTAATGGTTTAAGGAATGACTTGGAAATCAAAACCATACCTTGGAAATACAGACTCTGATCGGGTCTATCAGGAGAACTTGGCGCTATCTCTCTCTTGAAGTACCTTGAGGTTGCCAGTGAAGGATTGCAGGAGCTCTGAGCAGCTCAGCGGTGGATTTGGGGAAATTGGCTTT